TTAAAGATTTATTTATTCATACTGATCAAGCCAGGGGTGCAGGGATAGTGAGTGGATTCACCAGAGACAGAGTGGGGAGGAGAACAGGTAGATGGACAAGGTACACTGCTGAGGGGAACAGCGGGCCAGACAGGAGAGAGGTCTGCTGCGCCATGTGGGTCCCCGCCAGGGCCGGGGATGGAACTTGCGCTGAAGCAGCTGAGGCCAGCTTGCAGTGCTGCATCCTAACCTGTAGCGCCACCAGGGAGGGCCAGTATTGAAATTCTTAATGATTTCTGAAAAATTTTCAATTTGGTCCGGGGCCCTCCATAGATATAGCCTATCCTGCTGAGACTGATTGAAGTGTGTTTCACAATGTGGTTTTTAGCCCCAGTTGACATAGATCTCATCGTTCTGATACTCATTTGCTGTTTATTCATTTCACAAATAATTCTGAATTCAGTAGTTCTTAAGAACTGCAATCCCTATCACAGAATAGAAGACACAATGGCAACCAGGAAGCATTTTCTCTGCCCTTAAAAGGTTTTACTTATTAATAAAGCACAGAGATGAGAAAAAAAGAATATTGCCATACAGTATAATAATTGCCAGGAGAGCAAGCGCAGGATTTTCTGGGGACACAGGAGTATCAAAATATAAAATTCCTTTAAAAGTAATTTTTGAAATAATTATTTTTAAAAAATCGTACAAAGCAATTCCTTTATAAAAAAAATCACATTTGGTGATATTAATAGTCCAACTACATTCTCTTTTGTATCAAACAGACACTTACACTGTCCATTTCAGCACATTTTCAGCTACAACCTGTCTTGCTAGGGCTTGTGCTATTTTAGCACAAAAGGTTTTCATGATCTTCTAAGAGGAGTGGAAAGGAAGGCAAATTCTCTCCTTGCTAACTTAAGGCTGGCGGGCCTTCCCTTGTAAAATGCAACCCTGAACAACTTTTAATCAATCGTGAAAACACTTCCCCCGTAGTAAAGACACACTAGCCCTTGTCTGAACTGCTACCAGAAAGGCTACGGTGCATCCACCCTGTTCTCAGTGGCCCTTCCAGATGGAGTTAATCCCCCACCCCAAGGTCCACGTGAGGAGGTTGGTGTAGAGGCAAGGCAGCCGTCACCCAAAGCGAAACAATGGGTCCCTGCGATCGCCATTGTTCTGTGCAGGTCGGGGGCCATGTTTAGTAGTAACGGCAGGAAGAGGCCTGTTATTGACAAGCTGACATGCGCTGTTTGCATTAGCGAATATGAGACGATGATGGCAGCTCGTCCTGTGTCCCCATGGTATTGGGCTCAGTGAGATAGCAGAGAATGCTTCAGTTTACTTAAAGCATTGATAACACCTCTAAATAATTAACCGAGGACTTCCTGTCTTCAATTACTTAATGCTTTTTTTAACATCTTGAGAGGATTATAAGCAATTTATGGATTTCACATCATGAGTGCATTCGCCACTATTCCCACAAAGCATTTACAGGATCATGTTTCTAAAGCTTTGAGGTAATTAAAAATAAGCACAGAGACAATGGGGCTGGGGCAAGGTGCTGGCTTCCCTTCTGCCGCTGTGAGGCCTTACATTTGCAGGCTCCGTGATGACTAGCGCTATGGTTTCATTAGCGCTCCCTTGGTACTCCGGGAATGCCAGGGATTGGGAAATGAAGACAAAATCAAAACTTTTACCTCAGGAGGTTCAGAGAGCTTTTCAACCCAACACTTGAGCTAGAATGTGAAGTGGATTTGATTGTTTTTGTTCATTCCATGAGCTCAATAGAATAGTTATTTCCATCATTGAGTACTGAATGTGGCCAGTTATCTAAGCATGGAAGTGCCTTTCCCCTGGCAGATGAAACTCGTGCACAGGTTGCTGATAACCGCAGCCCCTGGAAATCACACGCAGAGACTGTACCTGTGAGGTTTTCTGATGGAGGCCTTACTTCCCCCTTCAACAAGAAATCTCTTTTCAGGGCTAGAAGCCTAAGTGAAGCATTCTCTAGGTCTATTTAAAGCTGCACTGATGGAGGGACCAAATGAATTCTGAAGCTGTATTTCCATTTTATGAATTTGTAGAAAAGTAAAATTATGTGGAAAAACTTTAAAATATTGATTTTTATGAAATCAATTGCTGGCATCAAGCTATGTGAATGAAATCTTTTCTGACATGGAAAAATATCCATTAAAAATGACAACAAAAGGCAGAAGAGGGAGAGTGAAGGGATTTTAAGAAAAATCTTGGCAATTGTATTATGATTACAATAAGGAAGCTATCAATTTTGTTAGCTTGGAGACCACAATTGAACATGGTCTATTGGCATTTCAGTGCTGGTGTCTGAAAAATGCCAAGCAGCAAGAGTTCAAAGCCAAGGCTGGTTAAACAGAAAAATATTGTGAAAAGAAAACAATTCCTTGTTCCTGTGTACCAGTTTATTGTGAAACATTTCCTGGTACAAAATCTTATGTGCCTTTGCTTGAACTCCAGAAGTCTAATGAGATGCCACTGTCCACGTCACATAATTCTCTTGATGTCCACCTGCCGTGTCCTGCACAGAGTTCAGTGGTTGCACCAATTATCCTGTATTTGCAGCTTTTCCTTAGGTTGTCAGTGTTGCTGTGGGCTTGATCTCCTCAGAAGAGTTAGCTAGACCTTTCTCAATATGCTCAGAAGAGACCTCTCCAGAAAGTGTGACCTTGGTGTGAACCAAAGGTCAACTGAGACTGCAAGTCTATTACTATTACCATTAGTTAAAGCACGCGGATTATATTAAGGCTAGAGAAGGCCCTAGGAGTTTGTTGTCTTTTGCTCCTTTTCCTAACCAGAATAGTAATCACTGCTTCCACTTTTATGGTCTAGAAGAATTAGTATTGGTGGGGGTCTCATCCAGGTATAAATTTATCAATGAACATGACCTTTTTATCAGAGATGCTCATCTGAGCGTATCCCCACCTGTAAAGAACACTCCCCCCACCCCCAGAATGCCCTCGGTCTTTAAAACATAGGATAACTAACCCCAGTCTGCTCCATTGTACTTTAGAATTTACAATCAGGAAAATTCTCCACAGATCTGTTAGTAAATTGATTTTTCATTTAGTAACCAGCCTGATGACGTTTTGATGACTTGAAGCCACAGAAGCACCCTCCAAAGGAGGGGGTTTTCTCCAGCACCCTGACATCTCTTATTTCTGGGAGATTCTTCAGAGCAGCAATTTTATTTTAGAGTACTTGGAAAACTGTCCTGAGTGTAGCCTGTAGAAACACACATTTTGTGTAATGAAACAGTGCTCTGATTTCCTATGGCTGGTGTAGCCACAACGGAATGCTTTGCATATGTTTGTTTTCCTTTACATTTTGAACTGTGAGCATTAAAGACACACTCCCTCATCCCTGTGTTTCATAATTAAATGAGTCAAAATACAACTGGATCTTTAAAATTGTAAAGCAGTATATAAGTGTGTGGTTTTACTATGTAAAACTATGTTATTTCAATCACTTCTGATGATTTTCATTTTCGGCGAAAAAACTATAAAGGAACAAATTTGATCATCTGAATTAATGAGGACTTTCTTCATCCCCTTTATTCTCGATTTAGCTCCAGGCCTTCAGAGGAGGAATGCATGTGCTGGTCTGTAAATATTTCTGAAGCACCATCTGCAGGCTTATGGCACTTTGGAAACATAGCGGACTGTCAGTGAATGCTTGCCTGCATGCCAGGGAACTATGAAGTTTCAGAGGAATTCACTTTTCTGCATGCGCTGCACAGCCCATACCTCCTCTAAGGAAAAATCAAGCACACTCTTCCAAGTATTTCTGGTATCAATGCGTCCCTGGAGTTGGGCTCAGGGGACCGGGGGCATCAGCTCATGAGGCCTTGGAGACAGGCTGCTGCAATAGGGAACAAGTAGAAGACTCTAAATGCTTCCTTGTGGTCTCAAATCTCAACATACACAAAGGTTTGGGTTGATTCCTAGGCCCAAATTAGCAACTAGATACTAAATCTCTAAAAGTTTATTTTCTGTAAAATGGGAGTAATAGTTCTCTCTACTGGTGTGATAAGAATGAAATGAGACACTATATACTTCATACTTAGGACTTTGTTGACACATGCCATATCTACTCATACTCCAAATCATTTTTAGTATCTTTTGATGTGTCAAGGCCTGTCTAGATACCTGAGATACAGAATTGAGCTAGGCAGAAAAGGTCTGTAATCCTGGGGCTTCCATTCCAGCAGGGAAGACTTGGCAAGACAAACAATAAACACTGAAGATATCAGATTATGAGAGGACTATGATTATGATGGACATAAAAGAAGGTGAAAAGGCAGTGTGACAGAGAAACTTTTCTAGACTGCTAAGTCAGGAAATGCTTTTCTTCTTTTCAGAAGTGACATTCAAGCTCAAACAGATTAATTATTACTTAATCACTGCTAATGTTTATCTAACATACTATTATACTGCTTTATCATTGTATTACTAAAATTGATTATAATAAGCAATGTTATAGTAAAAATACACTTACTATTAATTATTGCAAATTATTATAACACCAAGTTGTCATAGCCAGTCAACTATCATCTATTCTGTGTATTAATTACACACTTGATAGATAAATGTTAGCTTCTGGCTGATTTTCCCCTGCCTTCCAGTATATTCTTGGCTAGCCTAGTCCCATTATCTATGAGTATATCCTTGGGGAATGAAAATGCTTCTTACTGTTTGTCTGGAAAAAAAAAAAGTTAATACTGATGCAAAAACCATACACATAATGCATATCAAAGCCAAATATAAATTATTTCTGAAGTTATCTGCTGTTGTGGCTTATTGCTGCCAGTGTGGGCTCTTCTATTAGCATGGATAAGTGGAACCTGACCATATGTCAAGAGAACACGTCCTTTCGATGTGACCTCATATATCAAATGCACACCCCTGGGAGGCTTTGCCACTCTCCCCCCACCCCACCCCAATAACAACAGATTCTTCCTGGAGGTTTTCCTCCTTTTTCCTCACCTGTGACCATGTGCCGCCTCCTGTGTGTGATGTTGAGGATGAGCCCCTTCCCCGCCTGCCTAAACTGGTACTTAGTACTTTCACTTTTGGGCTTCTCAGGGACGCTCCAGTTCAGAGGCAGGACCCCCACCCTGGGGGCTGTGACTCTTGGGGGCAGGATGCTCTGTGGAACCCCTTGGCTGGTAGTCACTACTACCTGCAAACACAGGAAGGAAAGAGTGATTTGATGTAATCGTACACAAGATATTCTGAGCCACAAGAATGTCACTTTTGTTTTAAAATGTTGTTGTCTGGCTTGGCGTATCATTAGCAGGGCTCTGAGGGGCTTTACTCCTTCCCTCCCATGCTATGTGAACAATGAAAGCTGACCTTGAATACATTACATAAGTCTCAGACTACCATTCATCACAACAGATTCAACAACGATTCTGACGGCAGAGAGCAGCCCTCAGTTTAAACAAGTAAAATCTGGCTGGCAGACTGTCTTACTAGAGAACTCTTGATAACTCTTCCATATGGCCCCATCAGTGTCTTTGCATTTTAACAGCCTGATTTGGTACATTTTAAACGCCAGTAAATATGGAGCAAAACCCATGTCTGAACTAGCTTGCATAGAAGGTGCATTCAACATTATAAAGGGCCAGTGCCTCCTGCACATTTCTGAGGCACTCTGGCTGACCACAGGGCTGGCATCAACATCTCGGAAAATGAACTACGTGAGAAGGGAAAACACAACTGAATTTGGAAAAGAATTGACTGCTTTTTTTAAAAAATTAGTTTTCACACACATTTCTCCTTTTCAGCAAACATTGGTATATGGTGGGTTTGAGTTGTGTCTGAGGAGAAAGCACAAGTCTTCTGCAGGACCCGCCACCCATCACTTCTGATGAGCTGGTCAGTGGCCATCTGTCTCGATGTTGGCAGCTCAGGGGACGCCTCTTGGGGTGTTGCTCAGGCCCTATGCCCCATCACCTGTCCCAAGGTTCCTCCACAGTGGGTGATACAGCTGCTCTCCTGAGCATCAGCAAGACCCCAAGGACACGAGCTGTCATGTGTAGGTGTTTCTCCTGGATTTCCTCATGACTGTGTTGACTTCTGTGACTGGATTCTCCATTTTCCTCCTAAATTGTTCCATAGTCTCTTCCTCGTCATCCGTCTGAACTTGCCTTTTCCCATGTGGTACAGCTCCCGGAGCTCACATCTATGGGCCCTTCTTTTGCTCTCTTTTTTTCTCCTTTGATGACCATAATCAAACTCCTTGCTCACATTCCCTTTTAGAAGTTTCCAGAAAACACCAGTCACTTTTTCTGCAACCCGCTAGACGTTTTTAGTTAGAGTCAAAAAGCACTTCTTCAATCTGTGTGCTATCTCCTCCTTCTTTCAAATAAATATTTATAAAGTATCACATATTTTTCTTATATTTCACTTTTCTTTTTCTACTGATTTTCCCTTTTTTCTTTTTCTACTTTTTATTTACTTTCCTCCCTTTCTACTTATTCTTTACTTTTCTCTTGCAGAATGGCACCATGATCTATAAAGTGCTCTTGTCAGGCACCTTGAAAATACCCAGGTCTCTTCCTTTCATTTGTTACATATAGTGGGGCACCAAGTCCTGCAGCTTTGAGGCATATCTGTTGCATCTTCCCAATCTCTACTTTCCACTCTGACCCCTTTTACCTGAGATGAACATTCACAGCTCCTGGAAAGCAGCTGTAGAAGATCTGACACCATTTACTTTCTATGCTAGGTTCTTTTGTCCTTTTCTCTCTTTTTCAAGGTCAGGCAACTTTTGTTGAAAGGATAGCTAAGTAGAAACCTTAAACTAAGGAAGAGCTTGGGAATTAGTATGGATTTCTAGAAGATCATCTAATGACAATTGATGGGGGGCAATTGTAAAAGAAAAGATAATATTGATTCAAGTTTTCTTTTTACTCATTAAGGCAATTTGATATTTGGAGGAATATCCCTTCCACGGCATCTCCTTTCAGGCATATCCATCCTCACTTGAGATGACACTTGAGTGCCTTTCTGTCACTGGACAAATCACTCAGAGCCCAGATCTTGGCATCATTTACATGCTGGAATGTCTGCTCAGAGTTTAGGCAAATCCTTCTTACCTTGCTGCTGGCAGTATAGCGCACAATTGTGCAAGTTTTCAGCTGGTAGGAATATTCCTGAAAAGGCTGGATTCCCTTTGTGTCAGAGAAGCTCAGCAATGTTCCCTCAGAGCATTCGATTCCATCTTGGAGAAGAATGAAGTAAATAATAGGACCTTAAAGAGGCAGAGAAATGTCCATCATTGTGTATCACAATCCTCTGAATGATTTGCAAACAACTTAAAAGTTTCAGTATTCCCTGGATGATTTCACTCATATGTGGACTATGAAGAAATAAAACACAGCAACCGACAAAACTGAAACAAAACAAACCCTAGGAATCTGACTGAATATTGAGGCTACTAGAGAAGGTTGGGAGGTGGAGGAGAAAGGAGGGAGGGAGGGTGCCAAATGACTACCATGGAGAATGGGGGTGAATGGGGATGGGTATGGTGTGATAACATATGATCTTGTACTCCTTAATCATATGCAACGTTGTAAACGAATGTTACTCAATTAAAAAAAAAAAGTTACAGGCAAAAAAAAAAAAGTCTCAGTATTCCAAGGAAATGGGGTAAAATACAATGATTTGATTGTAATTTGCTATTACTTTGCTATGTTCAAGCAAATCTTAATTATACTCACTCTTATGAAGAAGACGTATTCTTGACATAGATAATTAAAGAGTCACTTATGTTTATTTCCCTTCATTGCCAAACAAACTTACTTCCCATATTAAAACTATTTTATCTTCCCTTAATTGGCTTTATTTGTATGAAGGGAACTCAGATATACTGGATTTTAATTTTTTTTTTGGCTATAAATGTGTGAAAGTTATTTCATAAAATGATCATTTGGCATGTATTAAAAATTCCCTTTGTCAGCAGATACTTTTTAGTGGTTAGGTGATGCATGCCAAATAAATGTTGGTTGTGTCTCATTTCAATTTTCTGATTTATGGGGTATGATATTTCTATTTTTTTAAGATTGACTTATTAATGCAGACAAGAACTGAGGTAGAGGACAGAGGTGAGGGGCAGTGAGAGGACTCACCAGAGACAGACTGGGGAGCAGAACAGGTGAATCTACCAAAATATACTGCTGAGGGGAGCAGTGGGCAGGCCAGGAGAGGTCTGCTGCACCATGTGGGTCACCTCCCTGCCAGGGATGGAATTTGTGCTGCACTGGCTGCAGGTAGCTTCATAGTGCTGAGACTTAATCCCTTGTGCCTCCATGGAGGCCCCAGTTATTTCTATTTTAAAAGTAGTTTAATACCATTTGATTGTTCAGTTTTCCTCCAATTTAAGACTATCGCATCTTCACAATTATCCATATTGATCCTCGTTGGGGAACTCACTCCCTGAGACATGTCTTTGCTTGCACTGGCCCTTATGGCTTTGCTAAATCCTCGTCCATAGATATTCCAAATAGACACACTATACTCATACATTGCACAGGGCTCCAGGTTCACATCTGGAAAGGTAGAAATCCAATGGCGTTAATTTTTTTAAAAAATCATCATATTGCAAATGAGTATCAAAGCTTAAACATTTAAGTAGATAGTATTACTTTAAGGTGACAAGTAGAAAAAACGAGGGATCAGACAAAGACAAACTTGAAACCAGCCCTTGAAAATGGAGCATGGATCTGTGGCTTTCAAATAAGGAGGGGGAGGGGTACACAATGGATGATGGTGGAAGGCTCTGGGGGCCTGGGTGCTGGGGGGGGGGGGCTCCACCTAAGGGGGAGAACCTGTCCTGCCAAAATACTGGCAAGGATGTAAAATGATGGTGTAGATAAAGATTATCTTCAGTCAGTAGGTCATAAAGCCATTTAAAGCGCTTGTTAGATTTAGTGTTAAGGAGTTGTACAATATAGGGTTCACCTTTGGGGAACAGACGAATATGAGTATATTAAAAGAAATGGTAGAAAAGTAAAAACACTGGACAAGGAACATGTCACAGCTTCACAAGTCAGATTAATATTATTTTACTTCTGCTTGATACAGGTTTGTTAACATATTTTATTGTTGTATTATTATAAATTCTACCAATTACTATATCTCTAATATTACTCAATGGAAATATTATATAAATTAAAATGTAGTTATGATGACATGACTTGGAACTAATTTATCATGATGCCATGTAAGTGAATGAAAATGAATGCACACTTTTCTTCATGCTCCTTCCTTCTTCTGCCAAACCAGAACTGAAGTCAAGCTCCAAATCAACCAATCTAATTAAAACCACAAAAATTACTTAAACATTTGTTTAAATTCATCTTCCACTTACTCAACTGTGTGATTATGAGTATACATGTACGTTGTGTGGAAGAACTCAAAACTTAAATAGTTACAGAAGTGTAAGAGCTTATATTCCACCTGTTTTCTCAGGCAAGAGGGTATTATAGTACATGTCATAGCTACCATTGGGTCCCAAGATCTCCTTCGTGTCCTTTTCAAGGATTTCCTAGTTAAAGACCCTATTTTCCAGTCTTCTTTGCAACTAGGTATGGCTGCAGACAGCATTTTTCCTCTTTTCAACACACAATATGGCAACTCTCATTCATGGCATTTACTTATTTATTTTTAAAGATTTACTTATCTCTGCATACAGAATTGGGGTACAGCCAGAGGTGAGGGGGCAATGAGACAGAAAGGACAGCAACACAGGCAGACTGATGAAGTTCGCTACTAAGGGGCGCAGCAGGCAAGAGAGGTCTGCAGTGCCAGATGGGTCACCTCCTTGGCAGGGATTGAACCTGTGGAAGATTGAATTCCTGCTGAAGCTGCTGTGGCTAGCTTCATAGCGCTGCACTTTAACATGCTGTGCCACCAGAGAGGGCCCATTGCATATATTAAATGTCTGCATTCAAACTTTAGAGGGAAAGATTGGGGGTCACTAAAAATCCAATGATGATATACCATAAAAGACACATAGCTTATTTATTTCTCTGCTCTTCGTTCACTCAGATCAATTTAAAATACCATACCTTTATTTAAAGGTAGACTCATAAAACCTAAATGACTAACTGACCAATCCAGCATATGTCTTTAATTTACTCTTTCACTAGCTGGCCCACAGCTATGATGGAATTAATGGAGAGTAGGTGAGAAGGTGATGCTGCCAGAATGAAACCAATCTGCATTTTCTGTAGCTTACACTATTTCGCTGAAGCCACGGGCAGGCGGCTCACTTTCTGTTACCTGCAAAGGAGAATGTGTCTGCACTTCCAGTACAAACAGTCTCTTCAGCAGATGAGCATATTTCTTCGATTGACGCCTTCCCCGTGGAATTTTGAGGCTCTCTTCTCACAGCACAGATGTGGCTGGTAAAGTGGAAGTTGCACCTGCCGCATTGTGCTGGGCCTTGTGTCGACGCTGGGCAGACAGTCCGCCATGCTCCGGTCTCCTAAGTCAAGAAGGAGAAAGGGAGAAGGGGGTTATAAATTTTTATTTAGACATGGGTGGGGTAGGTTTTTACAACCTTCAAATGAAATTTTCATCTGCCACGTTCAGAAAAGGATGTCTCAAAATTCATAAAAAGAAATGAAGGTAGTTAATCTACTAAAAAGAGCAGTTATTTTCAAATGACACAGACTTGTATTCAAAATCCACTTTTGCTACTTGCTAGTTTTGTGACCTTGAACAAGTCACTTAAACTCTCAAAGACTCAGCTGGATCAGGGAGAGGATGGAAGTGAAATTGATCATGCAGGCCCTCCTTGGTGGTGCAAAGCTCAGCTCTGGGGCGCTGTCTGCAGCCATTGCAGCATGGGTTAGATCCCTGGCCAGGGAGGTGACCCACAGGATGTGGTAAACCTCTCCTTTCTTGCCACTGCTCTCCTCAGCAGTATGTTTCAGTTGGTCTGCCTGTTCTGCTCCCCACTCTGTCTCTGGTGATTCCTCTGACCCCCTGCACCTCTGGCCTATAACTCAGTCCTTGTATATATATAAGTAAATACAATATCAAAAAAAAAATATGCAGATTTGCTGCTTGAATTGAATGACAAAAAACCAGTATGGCCTACCAACAGTAGTTGTTATTTTACTATTATTACCATGACACTTTTCTAACCAAGTTTTAGAGAAAATAAAGAACATGAGACATATGAGAATTTGTACTTCTTGCGCTGTTGAAAGTGGAAACTATAAGAAGAATTTCTTATCCAAGCTTTAGAAAATGAGAATAATTTATGAGCTTTCAGTATCATTATTCTCATTTATATTTGTAAACTTTTCTCAGGTGAATCTTTGGGTAATTTTTATTGCTGTTACAGACAAGCATAAGTGTGTTCTAATCTCAGAAAGTGAAATATGTAATCACCCCAAATTGTAGATGTAAATAAGGCAATATTTTTAAAATGCAGAACTCTCCTTTTCCTTTCCTCTCTATAGAGATAGCATAATGTATTTTAAAATAATTTTCCTAGTTAAAATTGATCTACATTCAACCTCTCTCTTACCTAAAATAATATATTCACCCAAAGGTGGTAAAAATAAATATGCTTCAGAAAATGTGCTAATACTTTCATTTCAAGATGGCAAATCAAACACCTGCATTTACCTTCATTTCCTCTTAGTTTTGGTTATTAGCGGTTTTTTAAATAAAATTTTCAGTGGTGATATTGGTTTATAACATTATATATTGTTCAGGTGTACAAGATTATAATTCAATATTTGTGCCACTACATTATGATTACGACCAAAAGTCTTGTTTCCACTCATCCATCTCTTCTTAAGACCCAGTGAAATAATAGTATAGGACAGAAGAAGTTAAAACAAAGCAGATGGCAACTACCTCACACAGGGAAAATTCAAGCTAACAAGATCTGGAAAAAAATTAAACTTTTGGATGCATTTCCTTCATACAATTGGCTAGTTAAAATTATCCAATGAGTCAGATTAGTGACAAAAATTTTGTAGATAAATAACTCTGCGGTGGGGTGAGCCTTCTGTATAACTGTTTGTTTCATGAAGAATCTATTCCCTTCAATGATCTGATGTATTACCTCAATAATTCATTGGAGTGTTTGCTGGCGCCCTTACAAGCTCCAGAGTTATTCTATATCCCAAATTTTAGTGTCCACACAACCATCATAGAGTTGCTACCAGCAAGAGCCCTCCCACCGCCTACAACCCAAGTCCCCCTTTTCAGTCAAGTCCTAATGACAAATGACTATGGAGTATGGTAGGGTGTTTGCTTTTTGAGAGTCTATAATCTGTTCTTAAGTTGGTAGGTTTTCTGGAGTTCTGGGCCAATTTTGAGGCTAATAAACCGGGCACACAGCAGCTCTGCACATAAAGACACATGACACACTCACAAGGCTAGTCAGAGTGCTTCAGCTCACAGGGGCCTCTGCTCCTCTGGCACTGTCAACACAACAGTTGAGCAAACTTGCTGGATCTAAGTTCTCTATCAAAGTCTCGTTAGTCTCTATTCAGAGACAGGAAAGGGAACCAGGTCTAGCCTAATCTGAATCTAGAGTATTGTTCACTGGAGGCCAGCTTCTTTCTACATAGACTTCAGACTTGCACTGTTCTGAGGTGCTGGGTAAAGCTTCCTGAGAACACTAATCATTATTAATTCCTTTAGAATTCATTGCAATAACATCAATCACAGCAAACTCATTCGGTATTAATATGGGTGTAATGTGAAAATGAATAATGCACATACAAGTTTTTATATTCCTATTTTAGAAAAATAGTTATGAACAATGTATTTCTCTTTCCATTGTCAAATCAGTGCTTCTGAGAGGTTTTCTATCAATTACCTTCATCGTCATTCCAGTTGAAATCTTGTCAGAGCAAACATATTTCAAAGGATTATATCCAACTCCATTACAGCATCTCTGGCTCTCTGGAATGAGCTCGGTCTCACAGCATTTTACTGGCATTGGGTCATTCTTTTTAACATGTGCTTTAGACTCTCCACTGGAAGCTGAGCAGCATATGGTACCTGACATATTCACATAATCCTGGCCACAACAGAACACCCCTGCAACAATAAAACATTATATATGAATATGAAATAAAAAAGGGAAGAAAACTGAGGTTGCTATAAAGTTCAGTATTAAAATGTCAGACTCAGACAGTTGTTGAAATGGTACACTACCTGAGGTGGCTTTTTCTACCAAGGTGATTTTAATGTGCAGTGAGGGGTCCTTCTGACCAAGAACAGCAGACACTAATTAGGTATAGAACTTACAAGAGCAAATGCTCCAAAATCACTCCATTGGGCCAAACATCTTGAAAGCTCCATTAAAATAAGACTTGGTCTTTGCCATGAGGGTTGCCTGCCCATCTTTTGAGGAAAATGTCTGCATGCAGATAGAGGAAGAGTTCACTGGTAGGACTCATAATAAGAAATCTCTAGAAATTCACAAAGAAGAAAAGGTCACTTCAGCCTCTGGGTGAGAGGTCAGCGAGAGTGGGGGGGGGGTTGCAGCACTCTAGGACTGGAGACTCTCTTTACTTGGCTTTGTCTAGGGTGCAAATAGTTGCTCCTTAGAATTCCATTCTTTCTTCATGAACTACATTAGGTATTCAAAACCAACAGGACATGCTCCTTGACTGGTAAGCTATTGGGCCACTCTTTTCTAGACACAGGCATGAGCTTGGGGGTGATGGCAGAAAGGCCTTGGAGGGAGGATCATTGATGGTGAGAGTTGATGAAAGACCTGTATGACTGAGGCACCAAGCTGCCTCCATTCTCCTCCCAAAACCATTTTAATTGTCTCTGTTCAAATCACTAAGATCATGCTACAGAAGAGATACAGCAGAAATTTAGACATAAAGCCTCAATCAATAAACAATACTCTAGAGTCAGATTAGGCTAGAAATTAAGGTGCCCATACCCCATGTCACAGTGCTATCATATGAGAATTTATACCTAGTAATAAAGCAACACAATGAGATGAATGATTTATTTTAATTAGAATTTTGTTTATTTATTATTAGTCCTGACTGATAACATAAAGAACCTCAACTTCAGAGAGCCCTGGGGTCTTGAATTGTTTAATCTGGTCCTGTACAAACACCTCCATTATGAAAGACACTCTATTAAGAGACTGAGTTTTAAGTGCTTTATTTTTTAAATAATTGAAAGTAGACACTGGTTTGGCACATACCTTAACAAAGATGTTTATCCATGCATGACTTCAAAGAGCCCTCTCACTGATCTTTCTACTTAAAAAAGCTCCCAATATTTAACAATTTTTACTTATGATTCACGATATACATTGATCATGACTGAGTTTTGACATGCCATGTTTATCTACAAGTAAACTACTCAAAGTAACAGGCTTAAAAGGAAGCTGTTTTCGTTGGTGCTTTATTAATAATAAATTTTAAGTATTTCAATATTTCCAGGAAAAGTTCTCTCAAATAAGTGCACACAGCAGAAGTACAACACAGATATCACTGCAGTGTGGGTTTTGACTGTGATATGTAAAAATCACATACACACACACAAATAACAAAGAAAAAAAATCCATAGTTTCAGGTTTGTAACGTTGAACATTTTTCTCTTGCTTTCTGATAACCTATTTAAATATAAGCTTAAGTCCTTTGTTGCTATTTGTGTGTTTTTTTTTGTTTGTTTTTGCAAGTTTTCTTAAAATAATGCATGTTTCTTTTTAAAGGAACAATCAAATCTGAAAACTGGCCCTTTACAGAGCAGGAAACTTCTTCCCCACCACTCCCAAAAAACGTTAAGGTTTCACGAAGCTCTCCCGTAAAATGAAAATGCAGACATTGATCAAATTCAAAACTTCTAATCAGCCATTGGATCGCTTTAAGGTACTTTTGATAAGTCAGCTAAAATTTCAGTAATAAACTGTATTTACACAGCAAAAACGAAGAGTTTCTTTCACAAAGAGCTTCATCTTTGTTTCATTGAATTAAAATTTTCAGCCAAGATTTCACTCTCATAACAAGAAGTGACTCCCTTTCCAGTTTCTTTGGTAAACCATTACTTCTTTAATTATTATCAACCTTGTTCCGGTGTGATAAATTGCTAATTACTTAATACCCTAATCAGCGTTCATTCTTTGCACAGATAAACTGTGACAGTGCCATTAATTTAAATAGTAATTTCACTTAATGGCCAGAACGGCACACCAGATTTTTATGCAGCATTTTCTGAAGACTGCATCCATCACTGCAATATTCTGACATAAAGATGTCTGACGTGCACTAACTCACTTAGGGAGAGCAGATGTTGCCGCACAGAGTTTGGTAGTAATTCCCATAGTGCATCACTTCAGCATGAATGAGCTGCATATTCAGAGATAGACAATCTTCTAAAAGTGCCTTGCAGTAACTTTTGACCCCTACCTAATTTATCACATGTAGCACTTGACTTCGGAACCTTGACGCACAAAATGCACAATTTTAAATATGCTCAAAGAAAACCAAAATAGGTCGTGGATCATGGATGGATTGATCTATTCTTCCAGAGGCTCTTCATTAGATCTGTACAAAGGTAAAGAGCTTCTTTGAACCAGATGCAGATGTTATTAAAGCAGTACTGAACACATTGAACTGGGAGGTATTTACTTCTGAGATGAAATGACATATACTGTTTTTGCTAACAGTGAACACAGCCCAAGGATTAGTTCCATCGCATAGGCTACAGTGGCTAAAATAGTGGAGGAAATAACTATTTTCCTGAAGTTATTAAGAATACTTCAAATGTATTACCCAAACTTACAATGTATAGGGTTGCAAAAGGAAACAACTCTGAACACATAGGTCTGATCTATTTCTAAATTATTCGATCTGCAAAATAAATGTTCCATTTTTCTTTCAAAGGACCAAGACTCTAATTTTGCGGGGTGAAAATCAGACTCAGGAATGTGACGAATCACATAAAATTTTGGAGTTGACTGTGGGAGCCACATTGAAAGAATGGTTAGAAGAATGAAAACAAAAGTTTGGGATTAGTCATTCTTAGAACCAACTTATAAAACCAGCAGGGCTTGAGAGAGAAGCAACATGTGCCTGTCTTCACCAGCAGGTGGCTCTATGACAGCCACCAAAAAATTGAGGAAAAAGGGTAAAGTAAAATTGCTCCCCAAATCTTGGCATATGTATACATTGCACCTTTTGAAGATTCATGATGCCATACAGAAATCGTCCCGGGAGATATTCTTTCAAAGCAATTCTTATACCACGGATATCAGTGCCGGGTTTCTCTCACTCCCCCAAATCCCACCTCATATCACAAACGGGGTGTCATCACTCTACTGAAGTGTGATTCCACGACATTGCAACCCTATATTCTATTTGCAAAGAATTTCCCAGTCTTTTACTAAAGGCTGTGTGGGTACCATTGATGACTGACATAAGGCAGAGGGTTCCAAAGGTCACGGTCAGGTTCTCAGGGCTGAAGCAAATCCTCTCCTCTTTGATATAGAGGCTTTAATTTTTGCCTTTGCAGACTAAAGTATCTAATCAAGTCAAACCCTAGATTCAGGGTATAAGTGATAAATCACACAAGCAAACACAAAGAGTAGAAAGGAGTCATGGAGAGGCTTAAAATATATTCCGAGAAAAGGCTAAGAATACGCATCCTCTGGAACGAGGAGCATGACATTCATCCCGCGGTACCTGTCTAACGCTCCTTCACAACGCACTTGCCCAGAGAGAGCACTAAAACATAAACGCCAGCCCAGCGCTTCTGTTCCAACAGCATCTGTTAATTCACTCCATTTATAAAATACATATTGACAAAGACAACTGAACTGGGACCAGGGAGATTTGATTTGGTGTGAGAAAGTCAATTCAATGTGATTTTGTTAAAGGGCTCCTGCAGGCAAATAAAAGAGTTTAAGTAATAAAGTACATAAAGAGATGTTTTACGAGCCAGCCCGGCCTCATGGCAGGCAGACAATGCCAGGCAGCGAGAGGCCAGCCTCAGAAACAATATTTTGAGATCCAAGCCCTCGTGCAGCAGGTATGGTGTTACTGGGTTGAGGAGAAAGAGGGCCATATGGATATTCTGGAAGGTCATTGAGGTCACAGTCATTAGGGGCGACAGGAGGGAGCAGCAGAGAGAGGAAAAAGACACTTGGAGCGTGTCTATTTTCAGTGAACGCTGCAGGAAGGTCAAAAGAATGAAAGAGATTTTTTTTTCCCTTTTCAAGGTAGCATTCCTCCAGTCCACCATGATAGTCAGAGGTGTGGAGCCTTGAGGCAGAACCCAGAGGTGATCCTACTCACAAGCACTGAGGAATGGTTTAGTGTGTTTAGGAAATGCTTCTTCATCTTGGAAGGTCACACTGAAGTAAATGAAGGATTTTGAAACTGAGGTTCGTGGATAGATTTCAAGGGTGTATGAAATGGCAGCCACATTTTTGTGCGTATTCTCTTTGAAGTTTATTATTCTAATGTAATTTTATTTGAAGTGAAGGTTCATGACTTTCAAAGGATTCTCAGGAGAGGGCAGGGTCCCCCCCCCAAAAAAAATAATTAAGGACACTGAACCACCTTCCTAGTGGCCAGTGTGCTGGACTCCGTTTCTCAGATCAGGTTCTGTCTTCCCTTCCCTTTTTTCTCACCATCACTCTGCCACATAAATCTATTTTATCTCTTTAAATCACAGTGCTTATAATGGCTTTAATTCTTCCCTGAGTAGAAAATAACTCAAATCAAATTTTAGAGCATCACCAAAGTAATAAACTATTATCAGAAAATGATAGCTCAATGATTGAAGCAACACATAGACTTTTCTATATGATGCTACAAATTATTAAGAGAAGTAACTCATAAATTCATGGGAAAAAATCTTGTTGATGTATGCATAAGTAATAATATATAACTGAATATAATATATATATAACTGAATTCACTTATGTATAATAAAGATATACATAAAACTATTGTCAATTCAACAAGTACTTATGACAAGAATTAAAATACCCTTAAATCTCAGAAATTCTCTGAGAAGTCATTTCTGCATATTTGACAATAATCCTAAACAATTACATAATATTACATAATTTAAAAATTAAAATAATTAAAAAATATTTTGACTCACCACATGACAAGAAAGACAAAATTATCTCTTTTCTCTATAGATACTTACAGTGCAAAGTCACTGTCTTTTGAAAACTTGATCATGGGCATAAGTTAAATATGTTGGCAAAAGGAGAAATGTCAGAAGCTATATAATCTAAACATACTATTTTATGCGAGTGGGGAAAATATAGGTTTCTTTTTAGATTTGTAATTTGGGGCACTTATATTATATATTATATTTATATTATTTATATTTACATTTCTTTAATAAATATTTCCTGTAAATATTTATTGTATTTGTCCTATTTTAATAATCTGGTGTTCTTTTTTAAGGATTACCCTCTAAATTGTGTCACTTCCAGAGACACAAAAATCTACCTCTCACTAGCAGTGTATCTTGAGCAAGTGTTTGATCTCCATGCCTCAGTTTCCACATTTAAAAAATATGACTAATAACACTGCATATTTTTTAAGAGTATTAAAAAGATGAACTGAGATAAGAATTTATAATTCATGGGGTAGAGCCTGCTAGATAGTAAGTACTCAATTACTGATAATGATTGCTATCAATTTAAGATTACTGCCAGCACTTGGTAGGAAGTATTCCCTTGACCCAGAGTCAACACATTCATGTTAATTTTGTTTTTGGCTTTGTTTCTGGTGGACATGACACTATTCAAGAGGAAAGCATTTTGGTGTTTTTATGAAATGCACCACATGCCCATTTTTATTTTCTATACAGCATGTACCTAATTATTTTAGAAGATAGAAGTGCTGTGAGCTTTAATTACTCATTTGTTTTATACCTAGGGCAAATTTTTTACCTCTCTGCTTCTCAGATTCTGCACCTGCTAATAGGTAGACAAGAGTCCCTTACCTGGAAGATGTCTGTACACCACACCCTCTTGTTCTCCACCACAGCACTCCACATCTTTGTTCACAATCTGTCCACCATCGCACTGCTGGCGATGGCCATCATGGAGCCTCCCAGCACAGCAAATCTGGTTTCCTGAGGAGGAGTACGGCATTCGGCCACAGCAGGAGTCGCTGATGCCAGTGGAAACCCGATTATGTTGTTCATCTGGACAGCATACTTCACCTGTCAATTTAGGGCAATAACAACCATTGCATGATTGCATATAAAAATATGCTTTGACTCACAACTGAATTTTAGCACCATCTTCTTGCAGATGCCAACTGGTTGACAGCATTGCTAGAGAGAATACAGTTACATTAAAGTCACAAAGTCTCAATGCAGCTTCCAGGGTTTTGTGTTAAAGATGTATAAACGTGTCTACTCACACGCCAATTTAGAAGACTATGTTGTCTGTTTACTCTCTGATGCCTAATGAATGAGCTCAGTAAGTCTGGAGTTAAGGGTTAAGTTGAAATTGACAAATAGATAATAGTTATGGGTTGACAAATTGGTTGACAAATAGTTTTCTATTTACTGAGTGAAGATTTTTTTTGTTTGTTTGTTTCTCTTTTTGGAAAGTGATGTGGATTCAGAAATCAACACTTGATGGATTAAAACTCCTTTAACCAAGCTATACTGATTGAACTAAACAATACTTCAATAGGAAGTTCAATTAAGAAAGAGGAAGTTACATCACTGCCCTCAAATGATCACCCTAGTTCCTTGGGCTGTGGCAGATGCTGAGGATACTAGTGTAGTGACTCTCACAATCCCCTTCCAAGAAAATCTGGGAAACAGAGCTAAGGACAACAAAATCTTTTGCCTGGTATCTTGGGATCAAAGGATTTAAATATTAGATCTTATTAGCAAGAATTACTCTTTTTTTTTAATGCAGAATCTTCTAAAAGACAAGAACCCTCTAGAAGACAGAAAATAATTCCAAGCGCTTCCCTTAAGGTTACCTTAGCAAGGATTAATGACAACTTAGTAGAGCTGAAAAGCAAACTTCACCTTTCCTCTCCAGCATATGAACCACCACTGATTAACTGCCTTATGACCCCTGCCCTGCCTTCCTCCTTCCCCTCGGCTTACTATTTCTCTTTTTGCACCTTCCCTCCTCTGCCCCTTCTTAAACATACCTTTCTTCCTGGACAATATCCTTTCATATAAGGTATGTGAGCACGATGAGCAACTAATAATATAGTTAATTGGACTTCATAATAATTAAAAAGTATTTTGTATCAAAAGGCTATCAACTTGCAAAAAGAAAATCTGTGATAGAAAATATTCATAAATCATACAGCTGATAAGGAACTAATATGCAGATACATAGAGAATACCTACTTTATCAAACTCAACAACAAAACACAAACAACTCAATTAAAAAGGGGAAAACACATAAATAAGAACAGATCCTGACACAACCACCTCTCTGGGGAAGACGCTGGGCTGTCCTACCCATAACTGTCCCTGACACAAGACAGAAATCCCTCTGCAGTTTCACAAGAGGAAAGTTTCACATCTAATTGATTTATTTTCCATAATTTCTACTACTTTTCCAACATTCCTAACTAGGAATAATCAAAGTGCTCAGGGCAGATATTTCAACTCTCTCTCAGCCTCTGCCTTTGTTTTTCTTGAGTCAACACTTTTCTGTTTCATCATTTCCTTCCAGTGCACCTTTTGGGTGGAGGCCTGCTTTGTAAATGGCATGCCAGAACTAAATATGGACCTTAAAGCTTCTTTCTGGAACTCCCAGGAGAAGAATCCCTCAGGCATAATTTGCTAATGGTACAGATTGATGACCCCAACCCGAAGTCTCATGACCAACATCTCAGACCTCTCAGACCTTCGTTCTGTTTCCATGAGCTGCTGGGACAAGGGCAATTCAAATACAGTGTTCAGAGATGAGGCTAAATCCTTAAGCTCTCTATACATCTGGCTATTTTTTTTAAAACTGGTGTAAAAATCTAATAGAAAAAAAAAAGCAGCTATTAAAAAACAGTAGTCAATAGTATCCATTTACTTCTGGAAAGGACTCATTGTGTCTCTTATTTATCCTTACAACATTCTATTCATCCCATCAGCAAAGACAAATGACGTGGGCACCACTTTTCCCAATACTTTAGCGTCATTAGCCTGTGCTTCCTCCATTCCAGTAGTTCCCAATCCTAATCTCATCCAATCCCCAGTCTCCGGGCAAAAACTCTATACTCAGCATCTTTGTATACACTCAGACTCAGAGATTTGTGCATTCTCTTGGGATAGTTATGCCGTTTTACAGAAGAGCCCTCTAAATTCTCCCAATTACTTAACTACAACCTTAGGGCAGTAAGCAGGATACAGCCTGCCAACAACATTAATGTTCTAATCCCAGACCAGTGAATGTGCTATGTCAAAGGACGATTAAGATAGATGGAAGTGAATTTGATGATACCATGGGAGAAAGGCCTGACTGTGCAGAACTGGCTTGGAGGTCAGAAGGGGCCACTAGCTAAGGAACATGGGTAGCCTGTAGAAACTAGAAAAGAAAATGGATTTTCTCCTCCACAAGTGAACTCAAACTGACACCTTGATTTCACCCAGTGAGACCCCTCTGATCTTGATAAAGGTAGTAAATTTGTGTTGTTTTAAGTGACCACATTTGTGCTAATTTGTTAAAACTAATATACTCTGGGAAATGAATATACCTTAGAGTATTTGGTTAGTTGGTTTCCTCTTAAATTTCCTTTCTTCTTAGGACCCCCAGAAAGTTTTAAAAAAGTAATTCTACTCTTTGTTGAGAGCACTCAAAAAACACTATGCCCCCAAATGTCAATTTTGTCACCACATCATCTCTTTTGACATCTGGATTCTATACTGCTGTCATGTGAAATAAAGTTATTTTCTCTTCCAAGATTGGAAGCTATTCCTAACTTTCTCAGGTCAATTATGAAAAGTCAGCTTAGAGAAAGAATTGTTTCATTTTATACACTGAAAATAATCAGTGAACACACTTGGTCTTGAGCATCTGATTTCTGTAAACTTGCTGCCCCTTCCTAGGCTCTGATGAAGCGGCCCCCCAAGCCCTTGCTGCAGTCTGACTCATTGGAAACCATTTTCTGTCACTTAAAGAAGGCTTTTTCTTCCATTGACTAGTCTGCTCATAACGACTGTTCAGCTTTTCTTCTACTTACATATAAACGATTGAGCAAGCTCTGGAGCCCAGGAGCTCAATGGACAACAGACATTAATCTCCTACCAATATTACTTAGTCTGAGTAACTTAATGAAGGTCAAATAACTAATAAGTGAAGGAAATGGGATGGAAAACCTGAGACTTTGGCTTCAGAGCCCATGATTGTATCCACTAATTATCTAGTATCAAACCGTCAAAATGCTATAGAGTGTTTTATTTTCCTTTATTACAATGTGATCATATAAAATATTATCTGGAATGAGTGTAGTCTCTAAGTAGGGCATTTTTGTTGTCTTCTTTTAACAGTTTTCAATATTATTTTAATGCAGATATAGTTCTTTTCTATTCTACCAATATACCAGAAAAATATAATAGCACATGTGTGAAATCATCACATTATTATGTAATACCACATCTTTAAGGGCTCAATCTAATATTTAATAATGAAACCCTGGGTCTTGATTAGCTGAGTTGACTATGTTTATATATCTTACTTTTCCTACTTGTAAAGTAGACACAGAATTTTAAAGCATACTCCCTTTTACACTTTATTAAAAAAAATTTATCCAAGGCCCTCCCAGGTGGTGTAACCAGTTAAAGCACAGCGCTAAGAAGCTAGCCCCAACTGCTTCAGCACAAGTTCGATCCCAGCCAAGGAGGTGACCCACGTGGTGCAACAGACCTCTCCTGCCTCGCCCATAGTCCCCCTCAGCAGTGTACTTCCTCAGCCTGCCTGTTCTGCTCCCCACTCTGACTGGGGAATCCTCTCACTGCTCCGGTGCTTCGGGCCTATACTCCAGTTCCATATGCATAAATAAATAAATTTTTAAAAAATATATTATCCATTAAACTCACTAAACTGACCCTTTCCTGGATGCATAATTCTATAACTTTTAACACAGGAATAAGATTAGGATATTCAAATTTTATCACTCCAAAACTTCTTCATGTTATCTGCAATAGTGTGGAGAGAGAGAGAGAGAGAGAGAGAGAGAGAGAGAGAGAGAGAGATAATTCAAATATACCAAAATATATTTTATATTTTTCATATATATTTTCTTTTTATCCTTATTTCCTGGCTCATAGGTCCCCAAACCATGTGAATTTTCTAAATGTAGAGTGAGCTGTCTCTTGTTATGTTAATGAAGTGACTGTGGGTAGGCACCTAAGGATAGGCTGATTGCCATGAAAACCAACCACAGGATTAAAGGAAGTTCTACTCTCAAGTTAGAACTCAAGAAATGGGAGAGGGAGTGGAGATATAGTTCAATTACCAGTGGTCAATGAGTTAACCTATCATGCCTAAGCAATGAATACTCCATAAAAACACTAAAGGAGGGATTCTGGAATGCTCTCAGTTTCGTAAACATGAGATATGGGGAAGGGCGATGGAGTTCTGTATGCTTGTCTTGATCTATATATCTTCTCCAAATGACTGCCCCTGAATATTATCCTTTGTAATAAATAGGTGATATAGTGGATAAACAGATTTACTGAGTTCTGTGAATCTCTCTAGCACATTATTTGAAACTGAAGAAGGCAATTGGGCAACCTCTGATTTATAGTCAGCTAATCAGAAATTTGAAGTGAAATCTTGAGAACTGAACCCTTAACCTATGGAGTCTTATGCTATCTACAAATAGATAGTGTCAGAGTTGAGCTAAATTCAGACACTTTGCTGATGTTCAAGAATAACCGCCACATAGAAATCAAAATACTACCAAAATACTACCTTGGATAGTCAATGTTTCCTCCCACCCAACACCTTTAGCATTCAAGGACTTGCTCTTCATCACAATCTTCTATTTCATATAAATGGATTCTCACCATTTGTAATCTTTGGAGACTGGCTTCCTTCAATCAATACTGTGTTCATATTTTTGTATGTGGCAAGAGGTCATTCCCCTTTCATTGCTGAGTAGTAGTCCTTTATGTAGAAGTACCACAGTTTGTCCATTTACTTTTGAGGCATATTTGAGCTGTTTCCATTGTGGACATGAGGAATA